ATTGGAATATATATATAAACAAAAATATACATACAAATATATTGGAATATATATTTTCCGGAAATATATATCTGACATATTTCAGAATATATATTTTTTAGATATGGATTTTTTCAGATATTTCAGTTTTTATGTAAAATATAGATTTTTTCAATTTTCAAATATCTTTATTTAACAGTTTTAGATATAAAATATATTTAAATTAAAACCGAAATATATATTTAAATAGATTTGGTTTTTCATACAAAACTGAAAACTAAAGTTTTTAAGATATTTTCTGGAAATATATTTAAAACTGAAATATGCATTTTAGAAATGTATATATATATATATATATATATATATATATATAAAATACATACAAATATATTGGAATATATATTTAAATAGATTAGGTTTTTCATACAAAACTGAAGTCTTTTGTGCAAATATATCATTGTTAACCGGATTTTTTTTTCAAAGCTTAAACTTAAACAAAACACAAATAAAATATATCAACTTGTAACATGCATTAAATTAAAAAAATAAATAAAATAATAATAACCTTTGAATGACTGAAGTTGAGACTTTGAGAATGAGAGTTGAGCTTAAGTTGAGACTTGAAAGAATGAAAACTTTGAGAAGATGGGAGTTGGGAGAGCCAAGTTCAAATGATGTCCTGAAGTTGAGACTTGAGAACTTAAAATTTTAAAATTTTGATTCTTGAGTTGAGAGTCAAATTGTATTAGAGAATAGAGATTGTGCTTGAGTTGAGGGGCTAAAGGGGGCAGACCAAGTTAGAATTAGAATAGAAGACAAAAGTTATGAGGAAAGTTGAAAGCGAAATTGTATTAAAAAAAGAATACTGAAATTTGTATATTTCAAGAAACTTTATAAGTTCTAATCTAAGTAAAAAAGGACACTTAATTCTAATTGTAATTGCCTAATTGGTTGCTTATTTGGTGTAAAAGACTATAGAAACTAGGATCCTTTGATTCTTTTCTTAATTCCTAACTAGAAGACTAGGTTAGGTTGTAATTAGGAATTAGGTTAGAGACAACTTAGTTGAGTAGGAACTAAGTCGGTTTGGTTTGGGTCGGTTTCGGTTTTCTTGTGTGAAAATTAAAACCGACCCGAATCATCGGTTTAGGAATTTGTACAACCCAAAACCGACCAGTGCTGATGAAAACCCGGTCGACAAGGGTTGGGTCAGTTTGATTGGGTTGGGACTTCTTATGAATAGCCCTACTTTTGATAGCTCTTCCGCTTACATCCGAATCACAAATAAAAAGAAAATCATCAAGCCTGAATTCACTATCACCCTCTACCGTTAAGAGCTTTACGAGCTAATCTGTCAGTGGCTTGATTTGCTTCCCAGTATGCATGTTTGAATTTGATATTTAAGTTGAAGAAATCTACTAGGTTCCAGCATTCTTTGATGACACTTTCCAATCTCCATGGAGGCACAAGTCTACCGTTGAGGCAATCGATTACTAACTTGGAGTCACCTTCTATGATGATTTTCTGGTCCCTATAGTTGATACTTGATAGTCATATTAATGGCTTCCCAAGTAGCCAAGCTTCTACGAGATTGATAGTCGTAATTCTAGTTCCAATAGCTTTAGACTCCAGGACTTTGCCTTGATGGTTCCTAGTTATACAACCAATTGCACATTTGCCACCATTCGAGCAGGAGGATCAAAGTTAATCTTGATGCAGTTGTGGTTGGGCCTGAATCACTCAACATGGGCTAACATTTTTCTATTATTGTTAACCAAACAAGGGGATACCTCTTTAACCTCATTCCAGTAGGCCAAGGCTCTACTATTGATAGTCTCCACATCACAAGAAAGACCATTAAAACATTAACTATTTCTATTCTTCCAAATGAACCAAGAGACACAAGCAAATTTTTCTCTAATGAAATTGTCTTTGAAGATACCAATAGGTTTGCATAAATAATATACCCCTACTATTTGACTATCGTCTAACAGTACCCCTATTGTTTCAAAAAATTATCATTACATTAAATATTAATGGAAGGGATGAAATCTCAATTTTACCCTTCCCTAAATACAAACAGTTCTCTCTCCTCTCTTTCTCTCATTCTCTCTACACCGTCGCCACCCCTGCGAGAAAGCTATCTTTTTTGGGACTAAAACTAAACTATTTAATTCTGCGCTATGATGTCTTGCTCCAAATGATCAAGGTATTCCCACTCCGTTCACCTTACAAAGACAAACAAGTCTCCCTCAAGGTATCTATCAAGGGCAAGGTCAAGGAGTTGTTCTAGGAGTCATATGATTCAAGGAGAATTGCTTGATAGGAATCAGCTTGCGTTCTAGTGTGATGGGTCAAAGCATCACCGTTACCAATCTTATCCAATGAAACAAGTTTGTTCGACCTTCTTCCTTGTGCAATGCTGATTATACCGAAATAGGGAGTGAGTAGGGTTGAAGATGCATAGCCGTACAAGTTTGTTCGAACTCATTTCCTCCCCTCCTCTCCCTCCCTCTCTAATTAGAACTCATTTCATAAAAACCAAGTTTTGTTCTCTTTTAGTGGGGGAGTTTTGAGGAATGTCTAGGAAAAAAATGGAGACAAAGGAGACATCATAAGATGAATGGTGTCTCAGAGACTTCAGCTCATACTAATGGAGTTGTCGCCGGTCACCGTTGGTTGGGTCCAGAGCATTTCAAGTCACTGCTGGTTCAACAGTGACAAAGGAGACCGGAAGAGAGAGCTTGTAGTGGCAGTTGAAGAAATCACCGCCTGCCTTCTCCTCCACAAGCCACGTGCCTTAAGGAGAAAAACAAACCAATCTCAGATCTAGGTTTAGATCAGAAATTGATGAAGGGTTTTTTAGCAGCACATTGTTATTCAAACTATTTCTAGGTGACTGATGACTCAAAGGCTAAAGCAGAGGATTTTTGCTGGATGAGGACTTAGAGGCCGAGCTAACTAGGCCGAGCTGGGGGTAGATTGGGTGTCGAGTTAGGTTGATTGTCGAGCTGGGTAACTCTTTAGAGAAACCTACAAGGAATTAATGTTAGAGGATTCGGGGTGGCTAACCCGGCGATGTCACTTCGATGATTAAGTTAGTACTCTCTAATAGATCACAAGTTAAAAAATCATAGAGTATGAGGGCTAGAATGTGCTTATTACCCCATTGTTTAATGTGGTCCTCATGCACTACATCCGAGATTTTTGGGAGGTTGTACCTGTTATACAATGTCCTGAAAGCTGAAATAAAACACGTCTCATAATATTAGACTTGTATTCCATAAACATCGAACCAATCAGTTAAGTTGGTTAAATTTACAGTTAGAACACAACAAGCTTACCTTCCTTCGTTAGAGTCCAGTCCTTATCATATCCATGTGCCCAGAAGAAGTACCCACCGAGGCGGCGTGCTCGGGCGAACTCCACTTTGTATCTAATGGACGTGGCATTATCGTAGCCAAGCCAATTGGTTCCTGCATAGGGGTAAGTGGACACTGTCTTTTTATCAAACACGTCTGTTGCATTATTGGCCGCATTAAATTCCACAATCTGAAAGTACAGTAACACCCCATTATCGCCAGGACCCACGCCGACTGCTGGCGCTCCAATGCCGTGTACATTCGGGTCCTTCAGCTTCCATGTGCGACCATACAAGGGTAGACCCATGACCAGCTTCTTCGGCGGGACGCCCGCTCGGATCCACGACTGAATGCCGTAACTCGTGCTGATGTTGCTTGTCGAGTCATAGAGCAGCGCCTGCGCACCCGTGGCCGACGGCTCCCATGAGCCA